GACGGCTGTGTGTTATTTAGGTTCAGAATCGGTGATTGTGGATGTGTTGAAGTGTGTGGGCCAGAGCTCGGAGACAGCTGGTGGCCAAGCGCCTGTGGATAGCAGGGTAGGCCGCCGAGCGCTGCTGCCGTGTGTTGCGGGGCGGCCTACCCGCACTTCCGCAGGCGCGCTACCGTCGCCCACCACGTGGATTTCTATTGATGTTTGTTCTTTTAAAATGTGACATTTTTTATGTAAGCTTTTCGATTTTTATATCTGGCTTTTATATAGCAGAACCCTGTTCTTTGAAATAATCAAAATAATATTTGTAGATTACATAATAAAAGTAGGTAAGGAGTGATTGCAATTTGAAATAGTGCTCAGTATTCCTTCGCACAATTCTCACTGCACGCAGCAACTGGACAAAAGAGAGAGAGAGAGAGAGAGAAACAAAGGGTGTAGGGGGGAGGGGGGGTGATGGCAGTCTGTCTGTCAGTCGATCAGCGCTCCCTCCCCCTCGCCAGCCCCTCCTCCCACCCCACAACCCACAACTACGCGCTGAAACGACCACCCCACTGCCCAGCCCCGCGCAGTGCGGGCCGAGGTCGGGTCGAACGTCGAACTGATAGCTCTGATGTCGGACGCGTAACGCCTCAGGTTTTGGAGTACCATTGCTGGGGGCTGCTGCTCGCGCTGGGCCCGCGGGACGAGGCGTCCCGGGCCGCGTTAGAAGGACTGCTCGGCCCCACGGGGCCGCTCATCTGGGCGAGTCGCTGGTCGGCTGAGCCGCGCGCCCGCGTCACAGCGCCATCCCGAAGAGGTTAGGGGAGGCCCGCACCCACCTCCCACCCCACCCTCGAGGGTCACAGAGCCATTCCAGCGGTTGGAGCCTTGGAGAAGACTCCGCGGGTAAAAGAAAGAGTTCTGCGAATGGCTGAGTTGGTTTCCGCTCCCACTTGTTCTGGTCGCGGATCCGTTGGTCGTACGGCGGGCCCGCGTCTTCCAAGAAGTCATCCCCGCGCGCGCCCGTCGGCAGAATTTATTGGCAACCTGTTGGGACAAGTGACGCTCCTAGCTACTGTGAAATTCGTCTGAGCCTCTCACTACCCTGAACAGACCGTAAGGGTGCCGTATCGCAACAGAGGAAACGACAGGTTTGGAGATGTTGCATTTTTTTTCTACGACGTTGTGTTTGTTTGCAGTGTAGAGCCGCATGCGTATTCATTCTCCCCTTACTTTTTTGGCCACTGTCCTCAAGTCCTCGTATGACTTTCAAAGCGCACTCTTTTATGATTTGACTCCAAATCATCCCTTCCCATTTGTGCAGGTGACTGGGGACACGGGGTACACTCATGCCGAAGTGCAGGCCAATCAATACTGAGGCGTCCGTGTTGGTGTCCCCCGTCAACCTTCTGTCTGGCCTCGAAATATTCATGAATCTGGGAGGGCTTCAGGCTGACAGAACCCCTATATTTTTCTGGGGCCGGTTCACCTGTTCTCGATTGTATTATCAGGGAATATAACTGCTGCTATGGTCTGATTTTTTTACTTTCTTTTTTTAAATACCTAGAGCTTATTTTCTACAAGAAAGTAGAAAATTAGACATTTTAAAATGATTGTTTTCAACGCGTTTCGAAACGCTTCGTAAGATTCACTTAACTTTGCTGGCGAGAGCCGTTAAATAATTTCGTCCCCTCCCCCCCACCCCAACCCCCCGGTTGGTTTCGGGGTAGCGTTGGTGGGTGGGGGTGGGGATACGCTGTTATTGATCGTCTGTCTTCCAGGCGGAGCAACAGCTTGATGCAAAGACACGCGCGCTGCCTTTCGCCCCATCCCTCCTCTTCTCGCCTGGCCTCGGATCTGGCCCCGCCATGCGCCCAGATCTGGCGTGCACGGTGTTTCTCGCGTGCCTGGAGCTCCTCAAGTGCGTCGAGGTGACGCAGGCAGACCGGGTGAAGCCCTCCTGCCTGATGCAGGTACGCACAGGGGGCGGCTGCTGCAAGGCAGTGCAACACCAACCCTCAGTAGCGAAAGTTGCGCATATAAAATGCGCAGAAAATGCGGCGATGCGCATCAAAGTGCGCCTTAAATATCCCACATTTTTAGCGCATTTAATACGTTATATTGTGCGCATGAGATTCGCATTTTACACTCTAATGCGCACGAAAGATGCCAAAAAAGTGGGACTTTTAAAGCAAGTTGTGACGCGCATCACCGCACTGGCGCTACTACGTCAACATGAGGGGACAATTTTATTCATTTACATTTAGAGTGTGGGGAACTGGACTGTTCTAATGACCATTTCACACGCCTTCCAGGTTGCATCTGCGGCTCCTGTGCCGTGCGGATACTTTGAGCACAGCGATGGTACGTCATCGTCTCCAATTGATTTGTTTGGACAAGTTCACTACTCTTCAGTTTTTAGCAGATGATACCTTACAATCATTACTTAACTGAGACTAAACATAAGTAAACATAAGAATAATTAAGTAAGGTGTCATTGCTTTTACTCTCGGTAAGGACAGAGAAGCGAGAGCAGGACCAGCTATCTTAAATATTGTGCTAGGGGGGATAGTGAGGCTGAGGCTGAGGCTGAGGCTGAGGCTGAGGCTGAGGCTCGATTTCCGTCGCCGCACGCCCGAGCCGAGCGGGCCGCGCCCCCTCCCCACCCGCTCCCTCCGCTGGAGCCCCCCCTTATAAACTAAACACAGGGAGGACGCCGGATTGTACACAAGCCGTAAAACGAATGATATGGTGATAGACCAGCGCGGTCACAATTCTTTTTACACTAGAGCCCGTAATGTTTTTCTTAAATCATATAAATTATTTTTGAAATATGGGAGAAAGGTAGAACAAAGCTTACTCTTAAATTGGTATCATCTGCTTTCACGATCCGTTTCTGGTCGGAACTTTTTTTTTAAAGGTTTTGTAAATTAAAGAGAAATGTGGCACTTTTTAAAAAAATAAACACATTCCGTGCTGCTCATTTTTGGTTGGCTATGATTGAACATGGGAGCGTGACCACATAGTGATCACGCAGCAAGGAACGTGTGAAATGAAAAGTATGTTAAAATACGAAGATTTCTCGTAATCCATCGCGGAGAGCTTACTAGTGAATTCCATATTGTGTTTTAATAATTAAAAATACATATTTTGTAAGTTACTTCTGTTGTCCAACCAGTTTTTTTTTTTGAGTGTGTACAACTCGTTTCACAGACTTTCACTTCAAGTCCAATGTAATTGTTTCTTTTAAGTTTACAATCATTTCCACAGTGTTTCTCTATGTTATTACAGCCTGCTGCATTGAACCGCTGGACACGCGCCACGTGCAGAGCACACAAAGACACCTCGCGGGCGGGGTGCAAGGCCCTAGCTGGCAGCAGCACTCCAACGTGACGTTCACGGCCCCGACGGAGGGTAAGAGCGACGACCTAATACACCTTGGTTGAGGGTGCACCCCAAAAACGAGGTTCTTGAATCAAGTAAAATATCCTTGGAAAAAGTAAATTTCATACAGATGTGCCAGGCCATGACCGACCGGCCGAGCCTAGCCGGGCGGGGATGGATGTAGAAGGGAGGGGGGAGGGGGGCTGATGCCTCGTAGCTGAGGGCTGTGGCACGGCTGGGCCACCAACACCCAGACACCCCCCGTCTACATCTTCTACTGGAACACCCCTTCAACCTTTTGAAGTGGGCTATCGCTATCGCACACGATGCGCCCTGTCACGCGTTTTTGCTTGTTGTGCCAGACGCGCTGTACCTGGTGAGCCACGACGAGGGCTGCGGCCCCGAGCATGAGTGCTGGGAGGTGTCCCTGCGCGCGCTCGGGCCGCTCGAGTCGCTGCTGCTGCCGGCGGGGGCCGCGCTCCAGGTCCTCGTGTCCCACCTGCCGGGCCCCAAGGCCTACAACGTGTCCCTGACGACGGCCACCGTGTCGCGCGGCGGCAGCGGCCCCGGGCCGGCCCCGCGCCCGGGCTCCTCGACGGAGGACTGCCGGCTGCTGCGGGGCAGCACGCCCGTCCTGGACATCGTCGGGGACGAGTGAGTGTTCGGCGAGACGCCGTCAAACGTCAAAGTTAGGCGCTGATGCGCTTTGGGCTTTGGGATCATCCTGAAAGCATACGTCCGTCGCATTCGCCGTTACGAACCTGCCTAGTTCAGGCCACTGCAAACTGTGGTCTCTCAAAGCGCCTGGTAGGTAGATACATTCTGCCTCCAGTACATGGGTGTACTGCGGGTTGGCCTACCTCGAGTCTCGCAGGCGCCGAACTCACGTAACTTGCCGAATGAATCTGAGAAAAACGGACACACTTTCTGGACGAACCCTTGGAAAGGGGGGGTGTCCAAATACTATCGGGTCTCAAAAAGATCAGGGTGGTCCTAAGACCCATATGGTATTTGAACCCCGGGGTACAAATATCATGGGGCTCGGGGCTCCCTATCGACTCTAATGACCGTCTTGATCATTTCGGGACCCCATTATATCTCCCCTCTAAAGTCACATGGTTCGGACCCCCTCACACCAATAGAAAGCTGTCATTCTGTGTAACGGCCGCCTTTCGCAGCGCCAGCGTGCGGCTTGTGCCGCCCGGCGTCCCCCAGCAGGGCGACGCGGAGCCCGACGCGCTGCCCGCGCTGCCCGGCGTGTGCGTCACCCTACACAGCGACCAGTGCCCCGTGGACTGCAGGGACTTCACCGTGCCGCCCCAGTGCCGGCGCACCCGCTTCCACCAGACCGAGCGCTGCGTGGATAAGGTATGAGAAAGGCCCCAGCGAAAATTACGTAAGTCCAATGCAAATAAGTCCGTGGGTTTACGCCCTTTTCACTTTTCACCCATTGGAATGTGTTTCACTGTTTACCACCTAGCGCTCAAACGCCGTCGTGTTGTACTCTTTCATTTCTAGCCCTTCGACTCGGCGTTGACTTTCCGGAATGTGACCCGCCTCAACGTCTCCTCACGCCTCGACGCCGGCCCTGTCAACTCGTCGCACGTCGTGCCGCTCCTTTTCCACTGTGCCCGGGTGAGTCACCCGTCCGAGGAGGGGCGCGGCGGCGGCTCGGGGGCGGGCGAGGGCTGGCGGGGGCGGGAAGGGGCGGGCGGAGGCGGGCATGGGTGCGTGCTACTTGAGGACCTTCGTCGTATCTCTAGAAACCAGCAAATATTGACGTGGGGACCTTCACTTCTTAAGAACCTCCAACTCGCAACATTCTCGCGCGTCACTAGATTTGTTCGTCAGCAAGGGCTCTGTAACTTATTATTATTACACGAACAAATGTTAGTTACTCAATGTGACAAAACACATGTCCGAGTAAAAGGTTAAAGTTACGGATTTTGGAATAAGGCCCATGTTGTTCGTGGAGACTGTGGTGAAATGTTGGACAAGTCAAATAACTAAAGTATATCCAAAGAACTGCGAGGTGGCTGATTAATCCCTCGCACTTCTGTAGTCATGCTGTAGCTGTTCCGCATTCATACGTGCAGGCAGGTTGCCTACTCGCTCGTCCCGCGACGCGCCGTGGACAGGGGCGATAGGCAAGCCCTCTCGCACTCGTGCGTGCGGCACAGTATAACTATAGAAGTGCATTGTTAACAACAAAAGTTATAAGTCATAACTCATAACACTAAATCTCAAAATAACGTCAAAAGCAGTCAAGAAATAAGTTATTTTGGTGCCCTGCTAGCCCCAATCAACCAACAGGGGTACAAATATTTTAGGATCAATATCACGACAGTATGATTATAATGGTTTCCATTAAGTTTCCGATAGAACATTACGACTCTCGCACGCCCGCGTAACTCCCCTCTTATCTTAAAGCAGAACCGCAGGGGATTCCCCTCCCGAGCCGCTTGTCCTCTCAGTGTAAAGTAACTAACAAACAGGAAAAATATGCCCTCTCTTTGCCATTCGTCAGCTGCAACTTGGGGGATGCGTCGTGGCGACTGCAACTGTGGCTGTGCCTCTGCGTGAGTATATACCAAGTTCACAGTAGTCAATAGTCATGTGCGACAAATTAGTTGTTTGCGTGATACTTTTTATCAAAAATCTCCGGCACAAAGAAGCTCATCGAGGGGATGAAGCCAAATCCCGTTTGTTCTAAGGCGTGCACGGCTCTGACAACTAATTATTAGTTGCACCCACAAAGAATATTCGTTCACTTGACACGCAATTAGCAGTTTTTTAATTATTTTTTTTCTTTTTCTTTTGGTGCTGATGACTAACCCCCTTGTTTTCCAGACCCACCCAGCGTCCGGGCAGAGGTGATGGTGCCGGACAAGTGGACCACGACTAGCAACGCCGTGGTGCTGGCCGCTGCCCTCACCCTCCTCTGCGTCCTGCTCTTGTTTGCCGTGCGCAACTTCTGCAGAGGTATGCGCGCCAACTTCCGTTTGTGTCCTGTTCCTGTGCATCCATAAGAGGGAGTCGAGGAGGAGAGCTAGTGTCCAAATCACGTATTTTTATGCGAATGGTAAGCCTATTTTTCGCGGCCGTAATACAGGGTGGTCCACAGACCCCTTCCTTTATTTTGCTTATACTGTACCGGATGCAGGCGTGCGGCCGGGTTGCATACTCGCTTGGGGCCATAAGGCGCCCATGGTGAGCGACAGTAGGCAAGCCCGCCCGCACGCATGCACGCGGTACAGTATAAGCAAATAAAAGGAAGGGGTCTGTGGACCACCCTGTATATGTTCGAATTTTAAAGGGTTGATGATAGAAGCACGCAGTACACTGCTGGTTTTTCAGTGTGTAAGCCTAGTTAAAAGTGCACATCGAAAAACAAAATCTTCTTCGCGGGGATATAATTTGTGTAATTTTAATATGGCCCATGCCCCATCGCTTCTATTTGTAATCCCAAATTACTCCAACTAAAGTGTGTCATTACCAAACTAATATACCTCCTAAATAAAAATGGGGCAATAAATTTTGTCCTGCTGTAAATGCATTTCTGCCTCGCCCACCGCACTGCACTGACTTAAACGGCTGCTGTGCCCCGCAGGTCCTCCCCACCGGTCGCTGCTGATCCTCCAGGTGGCGGGCGGCGGCGCAGCCGACGGTGACACGGTCGGCAACAGGGCGCTCAAGTCGTCGCTCAGCAGGCTGTCGCTGCGCAGGGCGTCGCTAAAGGGCGGCGTGAGCGTGGCGCCGGCGCCCGCCGAGGCGCGCCGCCTCCTGCTCGTGTACTGCAAGGACGGCGCCGGGCCCGAGAGCGCGACGGGCAGGGCCTTCAGCGGCGCCGTGAGGGTCCTGGCCCGCATCCTCAGCGCCAGCGGCCGCATCGAGGTAGGGCTGGAGAGTTGAGGAGGTGACGTGCCGGGTGTAACTGCAGCCCCTGCAGCCCTGGCGGGTATGCAATCCCGCAACACTGCTGCGCATTCTCAGTTACACCCGGTACTTTCATCACGCGCTCCCTCATGTGAAATGGGGTATCAAAAAACAATGTTTTTTGGGATCATGACGGATTACTTCCTCCAGGAGGCATACAGGAGGGTAGTCCTCAGACCCCGCAGAATCTTGTAGTTACATTGTGCCGCATGCAGCCGTGCGGGCGGGCTTTGTCTTCCATCTCTCACCAACTGCACCACATGGCCTAGTAGGCAACGCGCCCACATATACCTGCACACGGCAGTGTAGTATAACCACCCTCAACTCAATAGTGCAGTCCTCGAAAAACAGCCTCCCTTGACTCGTCGAGTCCTAAAGTTGCGAGGGAGGCAGAAGGGGGAGGGGGCGATAGTCTGACCAGCCATACGGGACTCCTAGCGTTAGAATGTCGATTATTGTGAACGGTCCCTCACTACTTTGCTCTCTGGCCCCGTGCGCCCGCCCACAGGTGACGGACATGCACGAGGACCCGCTGCTGCCGGAGGAGGGCCCCGTGCTGCGGGCCTCGACCGTGCTGGCCGACGAGTCCACGTGCCTGGTGCTGGTCGCGACGCCGGCCCTCGCCGAGGCGCTCAGGCCCACCACCACCGTCCTGGACCTGGACATCTTCCAGAAGTTCGTCTCGGCCCTGCTGCTCTGCCTGAGCCACACGCCACGCTCCGCGCCCGCGCGCCTCTTCACCGTCTGGTGAGCGCCACGCACTGGAAGTGTATACACCCAGAAAAAGGCATCCATGGTATCCTTAAACCAAGATATTTCATTTAAAAAAAAATACAAGGTCATTTACATCCCCTTTTAAAGGCATTTCCATTGTTTTCAAGGAAATGTCGTTGATCAAATGACAATTATTTTTACTCTACTTAAACGATTTTAGTTTTTTCAGGAAAATTTTCTTGTATTTTTTAAGGTAAAAACAGCCTCAAATGCGCAAGGCGTTGTTTTGCCTTGATACCATTTTCTGGGTGTAGGCGTGCAGCATTGCGCTAGGCAGCGGCACTAAGCCCCCCTGCGCTTCTTGTCTTGCAGCCTCGACGCGCGCCACCACCCAAACTTCCTCATCGGCATCCCGGTGACCGCCGTCTTCGTCATGCCCTTCCACGTCGCCGACCTGGTGGAGGCGATTCCTGGGTGAGGCCCAGCAGAACCTGTCCTTTTTTTTTACCGAGTTTGTTGATGAGCCGAGGACGTCGGACGAACGTCCTTCTAACATGTGACATTCCGACACCAGGCTGGCGGGCGAGGCGATACCATCGGAAAAGCAGTTCCAGGCCGACGAGTTGAAGTTAAGGAAATATGTCAACCAGTGTAAGTAGAAGAATGGAGTCTGTTGAGTGAATCTTGGGAGAGTGTTTTCCCAGTTAATACGTTCAGTGATAATTCATAGGCACCGAAAAAAGGGCCGCACTGAACGTGTAAGTGTTACAGTTCGAGGCTGAGAAACAACGAAGGAGCATGCGTGCGGGGTGCGGGCAGTGTTGTGACGTCAGTGGACGACCTGCATGCGACATTGTACCACAAAGCTTTGTATAAGAATACGAAAACGTGTTTTTTCAGCTACTTGGTGTCAGAGAGGTGTACTTTACTCTCTTGACATATCACACGCACACATAAACCAGGTGGCTGACTACGCCGCTGAGCACTCTTGTAGACTGTACCGCATGCAGGGATGCGTGTGTGTTGCCTATTCTCGCAGTCCACGGCTCCTTATGAAATATGGCCCCGTATACTAGTGGGCAACGCGTAGGCAAAGCGTGCATGCGCGCAGCGTGAGTCAGCCACAAGGTACATACAAGAGAGCGAAAAGGGGGGAAGATGGGGGAAGGAGAGAGAGAAAGAGAGAGGGGGAAGAGGAGTAACTCGCTCTATGGCCTGGTCGGAAACATTAATAACTCCACTTGTTTATGTTTTTTCGCAGATGTCAATCCCGATGAGCCGGAAACACCTGTCATCGTTCGGATCTAGTCACCAACTCATTCAACCGCGAAGGTTGGAAAAATAATGTGCAGGCTTCGAAAACATTGTTATTCTTACAAATTTTAGAAAGCGAACAAACGAACGCGGGTGAGAGAAAGAGAGAGAAGAGAAAGACTGAAAGGGACCAGACATTTTGTTACACTTTATCACGTTTATGTTATGAATATTTCAGGTGACCGCACTAATAAACCTCTATTTCCAATCTTCTTTTACTGTCTCTCTATCCATCCTGATCCCTCAACTTTTAATAACTAACGTTTTAGGTTTGCATAACAAAAAAAGTGTCCAAAGAGAGAATTCTCCTCATATTGGCTGGACTATGTTGGAAGACGTAGGAACCCCCTCTACCAGCAGGATAGGCAACCGCGCAACCCAAAGAGGCACCATGGTCGGTTATTACTCAGGGGGTCCGCTCCAGAAAGAATTGCTCATCGTTGTATGCTCACCAGTATCGCAAGTTCCTTCGTAGGAGCCTTCGAGCAAGGGTAGTTTTTTTTTTTTTATTATGTAACGCATAAGAGCAGAGTCGCGCTAAGCAGTTGGGCAGAAGCGGGCAGAAGCAATGAAAGTCGTACACAAACCTGGGTCGTGCGACTTAAGTCGCACAGCTGCTGGACACCCTTGATTTACAGTGTAGTGGTGCAAATGTGAGGTGAGGGGGAGGGGACGTGGTAAACAAACGGCAGCGGCGAGCGTTTGCCTGCGAGGAGGATGGGAGATAGAGAGCCAAGCTGGCCAAAGAGCGAGAGAGAGGGGGAGAGGGAGAGAGCGAGAGAGTGAGAGGCAGAAAGAGAGAGAGAGAGAGAGAGAGAGAGAGAGAGAGAGTTTTTGAGTTTTTACAAAGGATTTATTGGGGGATTTAATTGTACATCATGGGCTAAAAGGGGAGTGTGATTTTGATACAAATAGCTGGCGATGCAGCGGGCATGCGGTGCTGCTTGTTTGTGTCTAAAAGAGTAAAATTTAGAATGGTAGAACGTTAC